TGAGCAAAGAATAGGAATATTTTATCAATATAGCTACCCCTCACAACCACACACACACACACACACACACACACACACACACACACACACATGCACACGCACACGTGCTTCATAAAGAACTGGCCCAGAGCCTCAGCTCTCTGTTCTGATTTTACATTTCCATCAGGGCCTCAGAGTCACAATAGAGGTTACTCAAATTCTGTTCTGTTTTTCTTAAGAGGATCTTTTGAGGATGTCCTCATACATCCTCCTTCCTGGAAGCTAAATAAGGGAATAAAAGGCCATGGAGTAGCTTTCTAATTAGCTTATTCAGGAGACAAATGCCCAGCCATTGTCCCAGTGCCCAGCACCCATGAATACCGCCTGTGGGGAAGGGAAGTCTGGAATCATTGCAGAGTCTGTCCCCAGGATAGTTATAAATAGTGGGGTGACATGGAAAGGAAAGTATATGACAGGTTAGCAGTAACCGTATAGGTTACAAAGATTCGACTTATTTGCTCACTGTCCACAAAGAATATAAATAAATGGTCACCATGGGGGCAGGGTTTCGGCTGTTTCACACTGTCAGATCCTCTTGTCCTCCTCTGTACTGGCACAGTCAGTATGCCCTGTGACCATAAAATACAGACCTGAGGCCCTTGGCTTCTGGCTCTCAGGGTCCTGCCTGCAGTCAAAGTCCTTTTTTCTTTTTTATCAAGTCTCTCGCCTTCACATCCTAGGAGGGCATCCTACAGGGGGTCTGCCCTATTCCTACCGCCCCAGCATGCCTGAAATCACAGTGACAGTGCCCCCCAGATCCACCAGAAATCCATGCTACAGCAACCAGTTGCCTAGCCTTTAGCAGCACTTGGGCCCAAAAGGAACAGGCAGGGCAGTTCATCCTGTCAAGTCCAAGTACTCTTTGCCCTTCTGCAGCTAGGACCTCCCTTCCCAGGAGAGCAGAGGATCAGAACTGGGAAACTTGGGGTGTTGGGGATGTGCTCAGTAGAGCGCTTACCTGCAGTGTGAAGCTGTGGCTACCACCTCTTTACACACCCCTACAAGGCCCAAAACTAAAACCTAGAATGCTATCAGTCATTCCAGCTGAAGGCTAGAGGGACTTCTCTGCTATCTGTAAGGCCAGCAAAGTGGCCCTGGCCTAGAAGCCACCCTCTGAAGAGTATTCATAGAGACCTCTTCTGGTGCTCAGTAGAACTAGTTCCCCAGGGGTGGCAGCTCATTGGGTGATCTAAATAAGGAAAAGTAAAAAGAAGTGAGAAGAAGCCACCAAGGGAGCAGACAGGGGTTCCTGCATCTGTGAACTGTGTCATCCTAGCAACAGGACAGGTAGGGGTATCAGAAAGGAGCAGAAGGACAAGAAATCTGGTTGGACAGACAGGAGGGACAAGGGGCAGAGGTGAAGCTCAGGTGGATCTCTAGGCCAGGAATGGGGAAGCTGTTGGAGACTGTGCAAAGTCCATGGAAACAGACAGGTACCCTGATGCCCCACACATCCAGGCTGCCTGAGGAAGCCTTCACAAAGCCTGATGTTCTGCCAGGGCATAGAGGAGGGCAGAGCAGGCCAGGCTATCCTTAATGCTCTCTGGACCTAGGAGAGAGAGAATTGCTGACAGCTTAAGGCAAACCAGCTCCAGAAGGACACAGTAAGAAAAACCCCTCAATCCTCATCGCCCTAATGCTGTTAGACTCTATCAGTTAGAGGGAATCTGGTAGGCACAGAGGGAACCACCAAGACTTCCAAACAGGATCTCTAGACTCTGTCCTGTCCTGTTGTCTAAGTCTCCAGATAGAAAACTCACTAACTAAAGAAAATGAAGGTGGGAGAGGATGAGGAGGAGAGGGAAGAGGAGCTGGAGGAACAGAGAAGGGGGAGGGAGTAAGGGGGGAGGAGGAAGGCAAGCAGGAAGGAACAAACTAGAGCCCCCATTCAGCTCAGAGACAGCCTAGTACCCTTGGGGGCCTATGAGGCAGCCCCCCTCCCTGCTCACGCTTCTAGCTCCCTTTCTCAGTAGAACTTCCTTCCTTCCAGTGTCATCGCCTACAGCCTGTGAGGGTGGGAGCTGGGAAGCACTTTGTCCCCGTTTCTCAACCTCCTCACACTGGCTCCCTTTTGCAACAACTTTGAGCATGCTCAGGGTACCTGCCGCATTGTTTTTCTCCCAGCCACCTGGGCCTGCAGGGTGAATTGCTCTCCCAGCAGCAGATATCAGCCAAGGATAGGTGAAGAGAAAGTGTGTAACCTTGTGAGATAAAGCAGAGAACTTCAGGGTTGGCTAAGGCACAGGGCTGCCGACCATCAGTCACTTAAGTAGAAACTGCCACTGCGGGTGCAGAATCTCCTGAAGTGACTGGGCACCTGGTCTATCCTCTGGCTTCCAGAATCATCATCAAAGCCAGGCAAGCATACAACACCTCCAGCTAATGAGAGCTCCTCATCTGTCTCTAGCCTCTCTGAGTTCTTCTGTCACAGAGCCCATCCCCCTCACCTCCCCCCAAGGCTGACACCTCTCCCCAACAGCTACCTCATGTTTAAAGATGGTCTCTGTAGAACTTTCTTCTCCATTCCCAAGTCTTACTTTCCATCTAACTCCAGAGCCTGAGTTAGATTACAGAGGAAGAAAGCATCTCTCTCTTCAGCCATCACAGTCACAGGAGACCCTTCTTAATAAGCAGGAGCTATGGAGGGCCTTGAGCTCATCTGACTCAATATCCCCCCTCCCAAAGCTGGAAAGAGATTTGCAGACCACCATGACTTATCCAAAATCGCACAACTAAGAGTGGCAGAGCTGGAACTCCAGCTTTGGTCCCATTCTCTGATACGATCCTGTTTGCCTCCATGACAGATAGGGACATTTGCCTTGTTAAACATTCTGTTGTTCCAATCCTGTCCCCAAAGAACACAGGAAGTAGCCACCTCACAGCTGAGATAAGCAGGAGCTTCTTAGCCACTGTCCCCTGGTACCATCAGCACCAGAGAGTCCTGTCTTAGGAGTGGAGGAAGCAAGCACCTCAGGTGATCTCACCGGGCCACCACTGACAGCCTCCCTTCCTGGGAAAGCCTCTTCCCATGAGTACTCCAGCAGAGAAGCAAGCTCATCCCTGCCTGGTAGCCACCCTCCCAACACATTCAGACAAATGATCATGGATCCCACACTCAGAGCTGGACACAGCCTCTGACTCCTAGAATAGCCGCTTGGTTAAGAGCCACCACAGAGAACACTAAAGAGAACATGCTGGTGCCACCCCACACCCCCGGGATCTGGGCTTCCATGGGTTTCCCCTAGCAAGGGCTCCTGATTCCCAGGGGTGGCTGCCAGCCCATCTCTCAGGCAGAGCACGCAGCAAGAGAAGCAGTTCTCAAAGGCAGGGAGCAGAGAGACTGCAGCCTCCCAGGCTCTCATTACAGGGAATGACTAAGTGAGCTGGGCTTCCAGGGGAAACCCCACTCTCTGCTCACAGAGAGGTCTGTTCATCCATGAGCTATTTAGACTAAGGCAGCTCCCAAGTGCTCTGGCTCAGGCAGTCCCTGCAAAGCAGCAGGTCCCTGGAGGACTCTGTCCATGCTGATTGCCTGACAAGGAGCTGCCCATCCCGGGTTAAAGTAAGACTCTGGGAATGGGGGAAATCTGATCAGTGACTCCCAGGTTTTTGTGACTAGATCTCAACAAGGAATGTGACAGTCTCCAGCAGCTGTGCCCTGCCTGAAACAGGCTCTATTTGAAACCTCCAACAGCTGAGCCCCTCCCAGCTACCCGCTAGCCAGCCAGCCACCCCTGTCCAAAATGACAAATAAATACAGGAATCCACACAGCAAGCAGACACTCACACAAGTACACACAGAGAGACATAACGCATAAATGCAAACACCAACAAACTGGGGCCAAAGGGTACAGTAGGGGAAAGCCACTTGTCCAACAGTTCCCCGCATCTCCAAGCCTTCCAACCATCAGCCTCCTGGCAAGTTCAGCAGTGATAAAAACGCACCTTCCTCAACCCCCTTCCCCTCTGGGAAGGAAACCTTCTCCTCCGACTGAAAGGCTAGGGCAATGGAGACACACCCACACACACACACACACACACACACCCCCAGACAGCCCCTGCCATTCTCCATCCAGCGTGCACCCTTACGTACACTCATCTTTATTTATCCCAGGGAGAAGGAGTTGGGGTGGGAGGGAAGAAACAGGGTTGAGCCAGGGGCACGGGCTCCCCGTGGCCCGCTGGGGAAGCCCGTCATCCCCTCCTAAGGACAGGAGCTCTCCCTATGATGCCAAGGCGGTGCCCATCTGCTCTGCCTGGATAACACCTGTAGCCATTTTTATCAGGGCATGTTTACAAGGCAGCAGCAGGTTTATTCTGAGTCCTCTTTCCTGAGGGAAGGGACTGCTGGTTTCCTACACCCATATTTTCACCGGGTGCCCTTGGGAGAGACTTGGGTACATCTCTTTTTCACCCTGGAGTCTCCCTGGGACGAGGAGGGAATAGAAACTTGGGAAGGGAGGGGGGCGCTTAGGGAATGGTAGAGGATCCCTACCCCCAGCCAGACATTTATTTCTTTTTTATTCTGGGGAAAATGGAGTGGAGCAGAGAGGGGAGGGAAGGAGGGAAGTAGCAGGAACTGGCAAACACATCAAGGCAGAGTGTAATTAATTGGTGCGTTAAGCTGCTGGGTTATGCTTTAGTACGAGTGAGCCTTGGAGGAAAAAAGGCGATTTCTCAGAAGGGATTCTTTAATGCTCCCTAACACAGAGTCTGCAAATTAGACACACAGTGTATGGGGGATGTCCCTACAAAGGGAAGCAGAGAAGGGATTCTCACAGGACCAAGCAAGAGAACCATGGGAAGTTAGGGTGTTCCATGTAACTAAGCGTTCATATTCTCTCTCCTCTCTCCTCTCTCTCTCTCTCTCTCTCTCTCTCTCTCTCTCTCTCTCTCTCTCTCTCTCTCTCTCTCCTACATACTCCTTTTGTTGAAGGTATAAAGAGAAACCACAGCCCTACCTTTGAGTACAAACCCCAAGACAGTTCGGTCTCTATCACCATAACAACAATTCCAAACATCCCAAAAATCAGAGCATAGTCACTCAGTCGCTTTCTCTTTTCAAACAGGGCCCTCCTGTGTCCCAGCTTATAGCCAATGTTTTGGTTTTTCCGCTTGTTGGCTTTGGGGAAGGTGGTGCTGCCGGCAGTGGTGCCGGCATGCTGGTGGTTGTGGGTAGCGTTGGGGTGATGGAGCAGAGTCTGGTGGGCATGGTTATCCTCCCTGGAGGAGATGACAATCTCTGGGGGGTTGCTGGGACTGAAGAGCTGGAGGGGCTGGCCCTCAGGCTCGGCCTCGATAAGGTTTCTCCGAGAGGCGCTGAGGCGGCTGAGGGGCTTCATGACCCCACCGCTGTATTTGCAGGAGCTCATAGCTATCTCCGTGAAGGGATTGCTATCCCGCCGGTGCACCAGGGGGCTGGCCTGCCGGTGCCGGCTGCCTCCACCAGGCCCACTTGTGGCTGTGGAACTTGGAGAGTGGCCAAGCAAGTGGTCATTGAGATTTAGCTGGCTGCCTTGCCTGGAGGAAGGGTGGAGGATGGCGGTGGAGTTGGCCGAAGTGGGAGCCCTGAAAGCCGTGGGAGAGGAGTGCAACAGACCAGGATGGACAAGCTGGCTCTGGAGTTGGGCAGGCTGAGGCAGGGGATGCAGTGGAGGCTGCTGCTGCTGCTGCTGCTGCTGCTGCGGCTGCTGCTGTTGCTGCTGAAGCTGCGGAGGCTGAGGCTGCAGCAAGGGTCCTGGAGGCTGCTGGGGGACTGCTGGTGGCGCGGACGGTGGTGGCGGTTGCTGTTGCTGCTGTTGCTCATCCCCAGAGGATGGACAGGGACACTTAGGGTCTTCATCCAGGTCCCCCACCCCCGAGTCATGGAAGTGCCCAGAAGTGTCCATCTTGGGGCCTGGCTGGGTTCCCTGCAGCACGACCCTCCACCCCAAAGCCACCCTTGTTCCAAAGATGACCTCAAAGAAAGCCAGGCATCCAAGCTTCCCCACCAGAAGTGTCTTGGCTCCAGTCCTCTCTCTCTCTTTGGTTTGCTTCAGTTCTCTGGGGCTGCCACTCGAGTATGCATTGTATTGGGCGGGTAGAAAGGCCAGGAGAGGAGCTGGGAGAAGGAGGAAGGGGCGAAAAGAACTCTATTCTGGAGGCGGTCCTCTAGGAGTGTATGAGGCAGACTCCGCTTCACTCCTCGCTGGCTCAATAGCTCCGCTCTCCTCCTCCTGACACTGTTATATGGCAAGCCAAGCCCACTTATTAGCCAGCGGTTTCATTGGCTTGGTTTAACTCTCCAACCCTCCTAACTCCGCCTCCCTCCCAGGCTCCGCCTCCTAGAAGGGGCCTGCCATCCTCCGCTCCCCGCAGGGTGGCAGCGCAACGAGGGCTGGGAACTGTAGTTTTTGTTCCAAGACCCCCACCCCCCAACCGCTCCACACCCCCATCCCCGAGCCGGGGCTCGACGCTGGCGCTGGGACAGTGGAAAGAAGAAAACAGAGGGTATCCTAAAGGGGAAGCTGTCCCCATGCTTGGGAGACCGGGAACGGAGAACAAACGTTGATTAATGGCCAGGATCTGTGACAGGTTGTTGGATACACAGGATTCCAGGTACACCTTCCCAAAGCCCAAGGGGAGGGGAGCTGTGCTCTCATTTTACAAATAAGAAAATTAACACTCAGAGACGTTGAGTAAGAACCGCCAGAAGTGGAAGGGACCCACTTGTCCTGACAGGGAGAAACTCACCTACCACTGCCAGAGCACCTGCGCTGTGTGCAGGAGCCTCTGTTATTTCTAAACCTCACGTCAACCCTATGAAATGACGTCATCATTCTAAAAAAGAAAAGAAAAAAAAAAAAAGCCCACTCAGGCACAGATAAGAAATATGTGTCTTGTAATTAAAGGCACTAGGGTTTGAACGCAGACCCCACTGCTCCACCGCTGTTACACAGAATGCCTTTCTCCTATGCTGCTCAGCACAACGTGGCTGTTCAATAAATAGTGTCCACATGATGGATGGGAAAGAGCCAAAGAGAATCTGTCAAGGAAGAGCCAACTTCCCCTAAACAGGATGTGTGAAATAACCTGGACCCAGTTTCTTCCGGAACAGCTGGGCCTGGAGTCACCCCAGGGTCTGGAAGGAAGACTGGAGATCCTGGTAGCTCCATGTCTGATCTCTTCAGTGGGTCCCCGAGAGTCAGAGCTGGAAACAGCTGCTGGCTTCCCTGGTTCAGAATCCTCCTCATAAAGTATTTAATAAGGTCCCACTGCGTGCAGAAGAGGTTCCAAAGGGACAAGACCAGAGATGACTTTATCTCCATTGCTAACTGCAGCAGCAGCCTTAGTGGCCAGAGGGGAAGAGAATGCTACAGAATTGCTCTAGGCACACCTGGAGCCTTGAGGGGGAGACGCCTTCCTGTCGATTTCCCAGTTCCCCACCATCCTCGGGCTTCCATCCAGTGCCTTCTCTAGATGAGTATGGAAATAGTAGGAAATCCAGGAACACATAGATGTATATGTGTAGGCATGCCCGTGCACAGGTGTGAGCATACACTAGCCCATGCACACCTGTACACATGCCCAGTGTGCTTCCAACACATTTCTTCTGAATGGTGAGCAGCAAATGGCCAGGTCAGAGAGAGTGGCAGCATTCCCACCAACTGAGCTCAGGGTCCTCCTCTGCATATCAGTTCTCATCTCTGTAGGCTGCTGTCAACCCAGAAGACTGAGAGTTGAACTACTTGCACTATAAGTCACACCCCCAGGGACCTGATAATAACAACCACTCTTGCACAAGATGTCATCAATGATGATGGAGCAATTTGTACACACACATGCACACGCATGCATACAAACACACTGAGTCACAGCATCAGGGCACAAGTGCAAGCCTAGGGTCTCATTCATTTTTCCGTGACCAGATGGGCCTTCAGGATCCAACCTTACCTTCCCGAATGCCCAGCCTGCCCAGTCTGTTCTCACCTTCCTCCTTCATCTTCCTCCCTCCTCAATCCCCAGATAGAGTCACCCGTTTGGCTCAAGGCTCCAGATCATGTGACTGAGTTTAATAACCATTAATAAATGATTGCTAATACAATGTTAGGAGCAAAAATGTGTTGTTAGTCCTGGAGCTTTGTGACAGGTACAGATTCTGTGCTGTGGAAAATTCATTGCTAGGCCTGGAAATTTCTTTGCCTAAGATACCCACACATTGCCTTCTGCCTCCACTAACTTTTCTGAGCCGGTTATTCCGAATGGGACAACAACAGGAGCCAAGTAGAAGCAGCTATGTCACCTTCATGGACAGGGTTTCTCTACAGCCAAAGCTGGGAGTGGTCTAAGATTGGCACCACAGTGACAGCTCCCACCCTGGGTCCAGCAATTCTGTCTGGAAAGAAGCCAGATGAGATGTGCTCGGTGCTGGAGTCCTGACTGCCATGGATGGCCATTTGGCACAAACAAGATGCCATTCTGGTCTTCAGCTTCCTACTCTGTAAAATAGATAAAATAAGGGTCCCTGTCCTGTGAGTCACTAGGATCCTATTCCACCATACATAGTAACCCTTACCCTCCACAGCGTTTTGGAGCTGGCCAGTAGTGGTTGACTGGTTGGTGGGTGGGTTGGTTGGTTTGAGACAGGGTTTCTCTATGTGGCCCTGGCTATCCTGGGTCTTGATATGTAGACCAGGCTGGCCTCAAATTCACAAGACTCCACCTGCCACTACCTCCCAAGTGCTGAGATCAAAGGTGTGTGCCACCATGTCTGGCAGCACTGGTCTCTAAAAGCCACCTCTGACAGCCCTCCCCACTCCAGATCACCAGTGTCACACTGGCAGCTTGAAGTCATTCATAGTGGGAGTGTTTACACCACAGACTAGACAGACCTACTAGCTTCATTCCCACCAAGTAGTAACTTGAAAGTGTGTGAATCAGGCAGGATCTGTGCATCCACAGAGCCTGAGAATAAATAACAGCCTTCCATCTACCCCAGGGCAGCATGGCACACCCCACTGCCTCTCCGAGTATAAGAAGCTCCTAGTGCTTCCCCAGAGCCCCCAGCTCATGTCTACACTCAACAACCCATGAGTTGGGAGCATCATGAGACAATTAAGGCATTAGGCAGGTTTTTTAAACTTGCCTGTAGCTACTAACCAGACAGAAAACAAATGTCAATGAGTACCCAAGAAGTTAGAGTTAAGAGCAGAGGGCAGTCAACAGAGGTTAAGCACACTTGTTGCTTTTATAGAGGATCTGGGTTTAATTCCCAGCACCCACACAGTGGTTCACAAACATCCATAACTCCAATTCCAAGAGATCTAATGCCCTCTTCTGACCTCTGCGTGCACTAAGCACATACAGGGTGCACACACACTCAAATGAAATACTCACACAAAAAGAGAATAAATCTAATAAATAAAATGTTTTAATATGCCGGGCGTTGGTGGCGCACGCCTTTAATCCCAGCACTCGGGAGGCAGAGGCAGGCAGATCTCTGTGAGTTCGAGACCAGCCTGGTCTACAAGAGCTAGTTCCAGGACAGCCTCCAAAGCCACAGAGAAACCCTGTCTCAAAAAAAAAAAAATGTTTTAATAGAGAGGCTTCATAGCGGCTGGAGAGATGTCTCGATGGCCACAAGCACTGGCTGCTTTCCAGAGAATCCAGGTTTGATTCCCAGCACCCACATGGCAACTCACAACTGGCTGTAACTCCAGTTCCTTTGTGTCCGATGCCCTCTTCTGGCCTTCATAGGAACTGCATGCAATTGGTACACAGATAAAAATGCAGGCAAAACACGTGGAGATGATAGATCTGGAGTCACTGAGTCTTTACACTGCCCTAGAACAAAAGGATGGAACATTGGGCCTCTCCTGACTGTAAAGATGAGGGGCAGAGGTGTAATGAAGTATCTTACCTCAAGGAGAGTGAGTGAGGGCCGATTCCCTGAACTCAGGAAGGGTGGCCACAGACCAACAGCTCCACTCCAGGCATGCTTTCTGCCTACGCTGCTCTCTCCACAGACTCTCTCCTCACCACCCCCAACTTGAGCTTCAGCTTTGCCTGAGTCATGGCATTTCACACCTCCATGCCTCAACTCACTCTGCCCCTTCTGCTCGCCCTGCCTTTCCCCCAAATACATTTCTCCTTGACCTTCAAGGCATGGCCCAAAGGCCTTTTCCAGAAAAATCCCTCCTCCCATGAACTCCCCAAATGCAAACCAGGGAGGGCCCTTCTCCTCTACCTTTGGGGACTCCATCAAGCACACTCGTCATCACTGTGTGTCCTTCTTCCTACACTGTAACCTTCTGGAGGGCAGGCTGATGTCTTTGTCTAGGTATCTGCCCTCTTCCACTGAGCTGGGCATACAGCAGAGAGCCAATCGAATGAAGCAATGGCCTCAAAATCAGGGAGAGAGCGTCTGGGGTGAAGAAGAAAGAGTCAAGACACCCTCCTCCAAGAACAAGCAGTTTCCCATGTGGTAAATTGTGTGCAGCAGATAAATGGTTTCCGGGGTAGTCTGGCTTTGGAACCGTCTGCTCTGCAGCCCTCACTGCCTATAAACAGAACTGACTGAAAAGAAATAGGTGACTCGGGGCTCATGTGCATCCCTTCCCTTGGGAGCAAAAGGCTCTAACTTGGTGCTATGTTGCCAGCGCCAAGTAGAGAATCTGATCCTGTATGTGCTTCTTGAAGGTTAATTGGCTGGGTGGGTGGGTGGGTGAAAAATACAATGACAAATAATAATGGGATATCTAGAAAAGACAGGGACGTGAGGGATCTTCTTAGGCATCCAGCAAGGGTCAACCACACATTCCTCAGATGGTTGGGTTGGAGACAGCTCTGGACTGAAGAACTTGCTCACTGATCTACCCAGATTCAGTCTGCATTGTATTTGTATCTAAGA